AGATAAAATGGAGACTGGCACTTCACAGAGATCTATGTAGACGGGATGGAGAGCGTGTGGGACAGGATCTCTTTGACAAAATGGCTGCAGAGGTGGAGTTGCCCATTTCTGGGCTCTATTTCTTTGCCCCAGCTGTTAGGACGTCTCCTTGTCGTGTTTAAATTAATGATGGGGAAAGAGGCATTCAGTTCCCAAAGCGAGGGTGTTCCCATCTGGGGTTTTCTGGCCCAGCTTTAGTTATTACCTCGAATGTGCTGGCTAACATGCACCCAGCTCAGCCAGCATCCGGTGAGGAAATCTTCTGAACTAACAGCGATTTCACACACTAAAGGGAGACGTGGCGCTCACCTTGAGAACGTTGTAGGCGTCCCCTTCACCGTCAGGAGAAATGGGTCTGTAGATGAATCCGTTTATAATGACGTTGTTGAGTTCCACACAAGGATTATCGTCTTCTTCCTCCAAATGATGCTCCCGGTAATTATAACCCCTGATCTCCTTTACCGGGAGCAAATCATACACCTGCGCGGACACGCCTTGATGTCAGTGACCACAGACCCAATAATGATAAACCAGCGTGTGCCACCCTAATGATCACAGACAACTTTAAACTAACACACCTGTGTGTGCAATCCCAGTGACCAAGGGTGACCCTACAATAACAAATCCTATAGTAACAGAGCAGAATATCTGACTCCAGGGCTCAGCACTGACTTTTCAATAATAACCCAGTGTGTGCTGACCAGTGCTCACCAGTGCTCACCAGTAATAAATCAGTATGTGTGGTTGTGTCCTCACAAATGGCCCCAGAACTATAAACCACTGTGTGCAGCCATAGTTTTCATGAGGGCCCTACATAGATCAAGCAGTGGGCGCAGCCCCTGTGCTGACGAGGGACCCTACAATAACAGACAGACTGCTCTGCCCTAGCTCTCACGAGTGATTCTCGGCACTTTCCAGACAAGACCTACTCTTGTGGCACTTACAGAGCTGGGCGACAGCTCGGCTTCAGGCTTCATGAGGAGGACGCTCTTGTCCACAGCACGGACGGCGCACAGGGAGCCCGGGGAGGCTCCGATCCGGAGGTGAGTGCCGGAGGCGGGGAGGCCCTCGGCCGGTGAGAAATGCAAGTCGACCTGCAACCCCAGAAGAGGAGTTAGAGGAGCTAGTTCTCCAGGTACCTTCACACTCTGCCTCGCAGCACAGCCCAGTCCTGCACACAGCTCTGCCAATGCCCTCAGCCCTGACCAATGCAATTCAAACATGACCAGGAGTGCCCCCTATACGTCAGTTCTGCTTCCACCCTTATAATTCTGCCTATGCAAATTACTCCTGATGTGCATTCATCTCTCATATTCAATTACTGATCCATGGTCAGTGTCCGATGGGCTCATGGAGCCATTGAACATTTCCTGAGTCTTCCTTGAAATTTGCAATTCCAGGTTCCACAGGTGGGCCATTGTCCATGGGGAGAATGTGAGTTATAGAAACCGGATGCTCACCTTATTGGCAAAGCAGTTTTCAATCTTGAAATCTTCGGAATTGGCGATAACGTCCCCACTGGGTAAAGTGGTGTATACGAGTACCCGGGCCAGGGGGGCGATATCAGGCCCCACGGGGAGGCTCAGCTCAAATACTTGGATAACTGGCAAACAGAGACAGGGGGGCAGGGGATAAGCTGTAGAGAATGAGCTCCAGGGCCACACATTTCCCTAGGCTCCCTCATTATGGCTGCAACATCAGCCACCCTGAAAAATTCGCTATCCAAGGGTAAGAGTTTTGGTGCATACTTGAGGCCTTGGACTCTTACTGCAGACACCCGGTGTGGGATATTCAGGTGAGATGGGTTTGCTGGATCTCAGCATGTCCCCTAAATCCATATCAGCTAGAGTCTAGTACTGTCCTCCATCAGTGCAGGACCCCCCTGCCCATGCAATAATGAAGGCGAGGAAAGAAGTGCATGTACAGGGGCTCTGTGCGGAGGGTTGTGCGCACAGGGCTGCAGAGGGGGTGGGATTCCACACTCCTGCTCCTGAAGGGGGAATTTGCCCAGACAGCCTGAATCAGTCAAACTGGGAATCCCTTGAGACTGCCGTTAATGAAATGAAATCGGTCAGGGGAACTGTGTGTGTGTCAAAGGGAGAGAGAGAGACCATGACTAGTGAGACAAGAAGGAAAGAGAAAGCGAAGAGGAGAGAAGGGCTCTGTTCTCGGCACCTGCTTCAGACACAGCAGCTCAGCCTCCCAGGACAGGCAGAGAAAGGGGTGGGGAGAGCTCACAATGAGAATGGGCCGAAATTTTTCAGATGATTTTTTGTTGTTGAAAAACGCAGACTCAGATCAACCAAAACATTTCACAAATTTGTGTGAAATTCACCAAATGGTTTTGGGCAGAAAAAAAAATCAGCAACAAAACAGAAGGTTTTCTTTCGACATTTCCTAAATGGAAGGTTCCATTTTTCAATTCAAAACAACTCCTCATTTACAATTTCCCTTCAATTCTATTTAAAAAGATTAAAGCAGCTCAAAAGTGAAATGGTTCAGTTGCTCCCAAACAATTGTTTTTTGAGGTTTCTGGTTCGATCAGTGAACCGGAAAATCAGTTATTCACACAGCTCTACTCACGTTCTCCATCCCCCACGGGATGCACCTCGGTGCCTGCCCTCACGATGCCTCCCTTGGCCATCACCTGCCGGGAAGAAGAAACCCTCATGTTACAGGGGTCCTGGTGGGAGGTGGGAGATGCTCACGGGGGAATGCTGGGGGTGGGGGTGACTATACTGATGCCTTCCTGTGGGGAAGGAGCAGAAAATCCCGCAGAGCCATACAGAGTCCCAGACCCAGACTGGAGTTTACAGGGACCTCGACCAAGTCAGAAATTCTCTCTCCCTGCAGAAACCATCCACTGGCTGGCCAGTTCTGCATTTCCTTCACTGGCTTTTACATGTAAATGTCAAGGTCAAGAGAACCTGGCCTCGGGGCAGTTTGGTGACCTGGGACATATATGGGTGTCTGGCCTCCAGTGCTGTGTCACGTGTACGGAGGTAGAGGTCACTAGGTCCGGGCTTACCACATAGTAAAAGACGATTTCCTTCTGCTCCCCCACGGCCTCTGGCTTCAGGATGTAGTGCACCCGGACCATCTCATTGGAGCCGCAGCTTAAAGTCTGAGACAAGGGCTCGATTTTGAGAAAGCTCTTACTCGGAGAGTAAAAGTGTGTTGCTGTGTGAACGGCGTTACCATACTCAGGGGTGACCCAGTCTCTGTCGTAACAGTTCAGTTCAGATTTATGGTTTGCCTGATAAAGAAGAACGTTTTTACATCAGACCAAAAAGTGAGTAACAAGTCTACTAGCATTTCAGAAGGAAAGAGTGGGTAATTTTAAAAACATGTTCTTGGCAGATTTTTCAGTGCACAGTGCATTGATCTGCATTTTCCATGCTTGTATGGAGAGAGAGAAATGGAGAACCAGAGGGAGAGCGACAGAGTGTGGGCAAGACACAGAGTGCAAGGGACAGACAGAGAGAGAGCAAGACAGAGAGGAGGAGACTGAAATTCCCAGCCAACAAACTCTTTGTTTTATCTCCTGATGGGAGAGAGATCAATAAAACCACAGACATCTCCCCTTAAGCTCAGCCTGTGACACCTCCCATCCCCTAGCTCCCTGGATTCAGCCACTCACGGTGATTTGAATGGAGGTGTCTGTGAAGTTGACAGTGTCTATGGAAAACCAGACTCGGCCCTCTTCATTCGTTGTGTAGTTGGCTTTGTATTTGTTTCTCCCTATGGAAATCCGGATTGTTTCATTGGCGATTGGAGCATCGGTCCCATCCACCAGCTTCACCTAAAGGAACAAATCCAATTTCCATTGCTTATACGAGGCAGGGAAAGCAGTCCCCACAGTCTTAATGACCCTTTGCCCACGTTATTCCCCTGAGGCAGCTCCAGAGAGTGTTTCCTACAGAGCTGACCAAGGGACAGGCATGTATGAATGTGCTGGGTAAGTCTGAACCACCTGAGGAGGTGGCACGTTCTCACAGAGTCTGTGATTGGGAACATGGGAAGGACTGTGCTGACCACACCAATGGGCCTTCTCCTCTGTATCTTGTCTCTGACAGCACCAGGGGGTCAGAGGAAGGCGCTGCAATTCCCACTAATGGCAAGGATACCACAGCATGTGTAGAGGCAGAGGGAGATGGCTCCTGTTCCCGTGGTTTGTAATCCTCCCACATTTTCCCTTTTCCATTTGCAAGTTCTCATTCTCCACAGACAAGCACACTCATGTCAGGTAATTTCCTGGGCTCTCAGAGGTTCCCTACCTGCCCGGAGAAGGGGATCCCTGGTATGTAATGAGAGTCCACCTGCTCAAAGCTGATTTTGCTCATGGTGCCTGTGATCTCACTGGACCCTGTCCCAGTTAACTCCACCCCTGAAAGAAAACACAGCAAAGAGGGGCTTGAACTAAAGCACTGACCTGCAGCACCTCCAGATGCTCCAGTCCTGCCCCATATTGTCCAGTTCTGCCAGTGCCCTTCAGTGCTGGCTTGCAACGCCCACTGCTATTGCAGTGCGACCCCACAGCTCCACCAGGTTAGCCTGATGCATACCTGTACCCTCTTCCGTGATCTTGCCTTGCACCTCAATTTTCATATCATAACTCTTTCGCTTGAGCTGGAATATTTTAGTCTTCACCACATTGGAGACACAGCCTCGAACGTCCGCCTGAGCCAGAGACCAAAGAGGAAATTACCATGGAAAACCCTGTACAATTCAGGTCTATGTGGAACAAGAACAGATACCCCAGCACCCAAAACGTTTCCCTGCTGCTTGATTTGCCTTAATCCCATCCTCTTACTGGCTTGATCCGGCCTGATCCCTCTCTCTTCCCATCTTCCTCAACAAACCAATCAAGGCATCTCTGGTCCCCAGTGATGTATCCAACATGCTGCCCTCTCTGATGCATTTCACCACAAATTCTCCAAGTTACATGCCTGGTTCACTGATTGTTCAGATTACATCCCCTAGATCTGCAACTTCCCATCAGTGTGATAAATCTCATTGTGTTTTTTATCCATCCTTGAAATCCTCTCTCTTTCTCCATGCACATTCTTTCTCTCTTCCTCCTTCTCTCTTTCTTTCTCTCAGTTTCTTCTCCTCCTACTATCTCTGTCTAACCTACCTCTATTTTCTCTCTTACTTTCTTCTCCTTCATATTCTCCGTCTCTCTCTTTATTGCTCTATCCCTATTCTCTCTACCTCCTTGCCCTGTCTCTCTCTTTCTTCTTCTTCCTCTTGAGTTCTCTCTCTCTTCCAGATCCTACAGTTTCCTCTTGCTTTCTCCTCTGCTCTGCTCCCACTCCCCTCCCCATCTCATTCCTGTTCACTGATACAAAAACTTCTTAGGGTCTTCTCTTTCCCAGCTAGAAGAAATACCCATTCGGGGGTGAATCCTGATCTGACTGATGTCAATGGGAGTTTTGCCATTGATTTCAATGGGGCCAGGATTTCACCCTAGGGGTTTTTCTTCATAATTTATATCCCCCAGCCCTGGCCTCACCTCCTTCGAACCAATACCTCCCTCCTGTGAGACAGAGCCCAACTCCGAACACAGATTCCCAGCTGAGGTCTAACAATCCTCTTTGACAGACACAGATCGCCCTCCTCCTGACTGTGAATGGCTAGCCAACTACAAAAGCAATTTCTCCTCCCTTGGTGTTCACACCTCACCTGCTAGCAGAGGACCTCACCCTCCCTGATTGAACTAACCTCGTTATCTCCATACTGATTCTTGTCTGCATATTTATACCTGCCTCTGGAAATTTCCATTACATGCGTCTGACGAAGTGGGTATTCATCCACGAAAGCTTATGCTCCAATACATCTGTTAGTCTTAAAGGTGCCACAGGACTCTCTGTTGCTGCTCAAGACAGTCACCTCCTGCCTATGGGATGGGCCTTGGACTCACCTGTCTGGTGAATTCCTCACACACAGACTCGGCCTCTCTTCCATAGCAGCGTGACCTGGACTGGGAGAATCTCCGGCACACACGGACATTCACCAGGCCAGGGACAGGGGTCCCATAGGTGTATCTGTAACCAGAGAGGGGTTAAAGAGACACAAGGTGCTTAGACGGGGAGACAGAGTCAGGCAAAAGAGGCCTTTTGGGGTCCTTTATACCATTGCCCCCGAGGACTCTGTTGCTGGTTTCCTAATGTCTATTCTCTGGAGCTTGGTCTAGTCCTGTTTTCCAATGACTCCAGTGACGGGACTCCAGCCATTTCCTGGGGGAGATTATTCCATTACCCAGCAGGCCTGCCCCATTAGGAAATGTTGCCTGATACTCCGGCTCTTCTGCTCCTTAATCAGTTGAGTTTCCCTTCTCCCAGCTCCCTCCCATTTGGCCACACCTTTCTGGTACGGAAGAGCCCAGACCTGCAGACAATATTCCAGGTGCAGTCTCCTCAGAGCTGTGGGGCCCAGAGCTGAACACTGTCTTCCAGGTGGGGTCGCACTAAGGCTCTATAGAGAGGGATTATCATCTCCCGTCACCGCTACACGACACCTATGGAGCACTGTTTTCAGCTCCGGGCACCTGTTTACCCAAAGGCCATTGACAAATTGGAAGGAGTTCAGAGAAGAGCAAGAAATATGAGCAGGTAGCTGGAGGGAGGGATTTATGAGGAGGGAAGGAAGAGTTAAATCTGGCAACTCTGGTTACAGGATGTCTAAGAAGGGATGTAATTTCTGCCTATAAGTGTCTAAAGGAGGCATCACTAAGGGGCGGCCCGGATTATTTAAGGAGGCACTTGGGGGTCTGATTAGGAAGGATGGAAGGATGTTAAGAAAGGGGAAATTTGGGTTGAATAACAGAGAAAACCTTTCTGGGAGGGAGCTGTATGAGTCTGAGGCATCGTTTCCTGGGGCAGGGGGAGGAGCCCCATTTCTTGGGATGTTTAAAGCTTGGGCTGGGTGCAGACTAGACAGTAGGGAACAATCCTGCCCAGGGCCCCTGGGGATGGAGAGAAAGTGACCCAAGGGGCCTTCTCCAGCTCTGGTTTCTGGGGTAGCAGCAGGAAGGCAATGGTGGACAAGCACAAAGAACGGTGACTCAAACCCCGCGACTCACAGACCACAGACAGCCACTTTCAGCTCCTCATCCTGGATGGTGATTTTCTTGGGCAGCTTCACCGACACCTCGTACTTGGGCAGCACTGAGGGGGAGAGAAGGGCCAGACATTGAGCAGAGCAGAGGGAACACGTGTACATCACTGTCATTTCCCCACTGAGTGACAGATACAGCCTCTCCCCCTCCCACCCCCAAGGCATGGTGCCAGATCCTCAGCCTGCTATAAATCACCACAGCTCCATGGCTGCCAGTGCAGCTGTGCCAGCTTCCACCTGCTGAGGATCTGGCCAGGGACTGTGGAACTAAAGAGAAAGACACCATAATCCTGCTCCCCTCCCATTTGCTCCCCTTGCCCAACCCTGACCGCCGGCTGTCGTTGCTTTAGAGGCTGTATTCCAAACTATGCTACGCAAGTGATACCTAGTGAGGGCCCAACTCCCCAGTGCACCATCGTCA